TTCTTGTCCTTTTCTGCACACAGGACCCAGGTGTAACCATTGATTTTGATAATAGCATGAGCATATTCACCATCCCATTCCCTATGTCCATCCAGGACCAGTTTTGCTTTGTGCCTGCAGCTGCCTATTGATCTGCCTGCAGAGATGCCCGGGCTCCCACCCTGCACTATACGGGTAGTGTAAGGAGCAGGAGAAGTGGATTGCCAGAACATGATTTCTATTTCTCCAATATGAGGACCCTCCCCCTCCTTGGTTAGACAGGACTTCCTTTTGCAGAAACCCTGAGGACTAGAGATCTTCACATCCTGACACTGTCGTTTATAGACCCTGCCCCACAGGCAAAGCACGCACTGCACCTCAGCTAGCAAGATAGATAGATAGCACACACAGCTGGTGCTGGTTCTGAATGCTTAGCTGGGGCCTGGGAGGGCAGTGAGTTGTCTCTGCCTAGAGAGGGGCTGGTTGTGCTCTGCTGGAGCTGCTGCTGAACAATCCCTCATTGCTGCGAGATGAAAAATGTTGGAGAGCTGATTGCGCCAGTGGATGCAGGCCGGTGTGTGGGCATCGAGATAATCAACAACACCAGAGATGTGACCCTCGAGAACCCCAGGTGAGCAGGTTCCCATAGCCCCCTCCATGCGGCTTCCCAAGTCAGCCTGCAGCTGGTGTCTATACAGATGTGCCAGGGTATAGCATATGTGTCTGCTACTGAGTATCCAGCTGTCTATCTGTCCCCATACACCCCCTCTATCTATCTATCTATCCCCATACACTTCTCTCTCTCTCTCTCTCCCCCCCCTACATATTGGGCGAGCGATATATGTCCCTTTGGGTCACTGCAAATTCCGCTGCCCTCTGGGATGAATTTGCTGTTTCTAGCCCTGCAGAGGCACAAGATTGTAATGGGCCTTCGAGACAGGACATTTTATGTAATGTGTCCAGGACGAGGGTTGTGGGATTTTGGAGGGAAATCACACTTTTGGGGGGGTGGGAGGGGATTTGAGAGCTGCTGGAAGCCACTTGGGAGGTTGGAAACTCTGAGTAAAATTAATGGAGATATCCTGTCTCCTAGAACTGGAAGGGACCTTGAAAGGTCATTGAGTCCAGCCCCCTGCCTTCACTAGCAGCACCAAGTAATGATTGTGCCCTAGATCCCTAAATGGCTCCCTCAAGGATTGAATTCACAACCCTGGGTTTAGCAGGCCAATGCTCAAACCGCTGAGCTATCCCTGCCCCCCCGTTTAACTTCCAGGGAGATGGACTGGGGGCAGGTGACATGGCGATAGGCCTGTGATGTATTGTAAAGGTGATCAGTGTATTTATTTCACATTGATACCACCTCCACAACTGTGTATGTATGTGTCTGTCATGTACACTCACACATATACACCCACACAGTCACACAGACATACACTCATGTACACGTGTACTCACACACTCATACACAGCCGTATGACGTGTGTGTCTGTCTATGTATGGCTCTGAATGCTTTAGTTAATAACATAATGTGCAGGACCATGTAACGCTTTCAGGATTGCCAGATTTATACAGCATTAATAGCCCAAAGTCATTTAAATACTAGCCCCGAAGTAGCCCAACATATTTATTGAAACAAAGGTGATTTTTTATTAACCCATTGGTCCGTACATCAAATAACAGAGGAAAGCTATTGTTAAATCCCCATACAGATTTGATTAAAAAAAAAAATCTACAAGCCCCAGCTGGCGTTCATCCACATTAGCAACAAAGCTGTGTGAGAACAAACAAATTTAAAATCAAACCCCCAAGGGGAATTTTGACAGGAAGGTCACTCCACCAACTGGCAACCACCTCAACCATATTAAATTCCCCTTGACAGTCAGATCACTACACACCCAGCCCAGATGAGACCCCCTACAAAAACCATGACAGCCAGTGACCCCCCACTAAAAATCCTTCCACCAAAGTCACCTACACCCTAGGGAAACCCAGAACTGCAATATAAGCTCTGTCACCCAGACTCCCCCTTCTTTCCCCCCAAGTCAACACCCTGATGCCCAGAGCTTCCTGCCACTCAGTAAAAACCCAGAGCTCCCCAAGAGACACCCTGCCACCTAGAGCCCCCCCCTTGCCCAGCCCTGTCAGGTGCAACCCCAGAGGGGCAACTCTGACTCCTCCCCCTGCCTTAGATCCAGCCTGGCTGCTGCTCTCTCTGAGGCCGGAGGTCTCCTCCTTGCCCAGTCCCGGAGCCTGCAGGAAGCTGCTGGGCTCCGGCCCCTCAGCCCAGGCTCTGCAGCAGGCACTCCCACCAGGCAGGCTGCAGCTGTGTGAGCGGGGAGCAGGGCAGTGGGGGAGGCAGAGCCCAGCCAGGTCAGGTAAGAGGGTGGGGGCCAGCCCTGCCCCGCTTACCTTATCTCCACTACCTTGTGCATTGGTCATGCAGGAAAGACCCCTCTGCCCTGGGGAATGGCCAAGGTGGGGCTGTGGTCTCTTGTCCAACAACCTGTGGGTCTCCTCTGCAGAAGAGCGGCTAGGCTGTGACCCACCCCAGCCCCTAGGGTCAGGATTCCCCTGCTGCTGGGACACAGTTATTAATTATTGTTAGGGATGTTGTGCAATGATGGAACCTCATGGTGTTTTCCTCCAGGACTTACTGTTTCAGCGGCCGTTCTGCAATAGACCCTGTGTCCCGCATCCCCCCGGGCTCTTCCGGGAGCAGCGTGTTTGTGAAAACAAGCTACACAGCCCGTGGGAGCGTCGGGGTGCTGAGCTACGAGTCCAACGCGTTCACTCTGGCCATCATGTTCTCCAACCCCTTTGACCGTGTACTCTACAGCTCAGAGTTTGCCATCCAGATCTTCACTGGCAGGAAGCACTTCCACAGCATGGAGCACCTCTACAACTATATGTACAGTGACGGCCCTCCCTATACGTGTGAGTCCTACAGGAAAGTGAAACTCGAAGTCATGGAAGGCAAGCTGGAGGTGACCAATGAGGAGATCCAGGTGACGGCCAGCATGTCCAGCAAGGATAAATCCATCATTAAAGTGCAGATTGAGCAAAAAGATCGCTGCCCATCCTAGCTGCCCACTCAGCCAACCCAGGAGGCTCATGGAAATGCCCCAGTGTGACAGACTAGGGGGCTGCTGGTTGGAAATAGTGACTCTCTTTCTCCCAGCTTGAGTGGGCAGTGATGTGCTAGCTCTGCTTGAATTAGTGCACTAAGAATGGCCAGAGCGGTGTGGGTGGTGGGAAGAGCTAGCTACCCAAGTGCACTCTCAGCTGACCTCCTGGGTACGTTCTTGGATGGCTAACCTGAGTTGCTGCCCATGCCACAGTGTCCTCACTGCTATTTTTAGTGCACTAGTGCATGTCTGTCTACCCAGGCTGGGCAGCATCCAGGCCTCCAGGATTTTGTCATCATTTTATTAAAAAGTTTTCTTTCTTGCTTATTTTTTAACCTCCGAAATAACAGGTGTTGGCATATGAAGACCTGAACCTGAAGCATTTATCATGGTGATTAAACTCCCAGAAGCTTTGCAAAAAATAATGCTAAAAAAGATAACGTAGAATTATTAGCAAATAAGAGCTAAACTTCTTGTAAGTGGAAATATGTTTAAGAGAATGACCTTTCGGTATAGCTGTATATGGTTGTTTTTAATTGCACGTGTGCTTGCTAGGTAAAATATAATTGGCTAAGCAGCTTAAATAAAAGTTATAAATTGTAATGGAAACCAAAAGAAAGGGATAAGTAGATAAGATCATAACAGAAGAATATAAGAATGGCCATACTGGATCAGCCCCATGGTCCATCTAGCCCAGTGCCAGATGCGTCAGAGGGAATGAACAGAAGAGGGCAATTTCGAGTGATCCATCCCCTGTTTTCCAGTCCCAGCTTCTGGCAGTCAGAGGTTTAGGGATACCCAGAGCATGGGGTTGTGTCCCTGACCATCTTGACTTGTAGCTGTGATGTGTTCTCCCCAGGGTGCAACCTGGAACTGGGGTACCACTGAGCCCGCCTGACCCACCAGCCTAGGCTCCCTTACACTGTCCTGCTGAGACAGGCCCCCAAGCTCCCTCCAGCACACATACAGGTAGGGACACACCCAGCTGCAGCAACACACAGATGCGGAGATCAGCTCTGCATGGGAAGGCTTAAACTAAAGAACTGCCCAGCACTCAAGTTAACACCCCTCTCTGGATTATACCGTCTTGCGCTGCACAGGGAACTGTACAGCATAAGCTCATGAAATTCATCCCCTCCTTCAATGTGGAGAGGCATATACACATCTTTCTGCCCCTGCTTATGTTTTCCACATGCTGTTTTAGACAAAACAAAATAAGTTTATTAACTACAAAAGACAGATTTGAAGTGATTATAAGGGATAGAATCATAGAATATCAGCATTGGAAGGGACCTCAGGAGGTCATCTAGTCCAACACCCTGCTCAAAGCAGGACCAATTCCCAACTAAATCATCCCAGCCAGGGCTTTGTCAAGCCGGGCCTTAAAAACCTCCAAGGAAGGAGATTCCACCACCTCCCTAGGTAACGCATTCCAGTGCTTCACCCCCCTCCTAGTGAAATAGTGTTTCCTAATATCCAACCTAGACCTCCCCCACTGCAACTTGAGACCATTGCTCCTTGTTCTGTCATCTGCCACCACTGAGAACAGCAGAGCTCCATCCTCTTTGGAACCCCCTCTTCAGGTAGTTGAAGGCTGCTATCAAATCCCCCCTCATTCTTCTCTTCTGGAGACTAAAGAATCCCAGTTCCCTCAGCCTATCCTCATAAGTCATGTGCTCCAGACCCCTAATCATTTTTGTTGCCCTCCGCTGGACTCTTTCCAATTTTTCCACATCCTTCTTGTAGTGTGGGGCCCAAAACTGGACACAGTACGCCAGATGAGGCCTCACCAATGTCAAATAAAGGGGAACCATCATGTTCTTCGATCTGCTGGCAATGCCCCTGCTTATACAGCCCAAAATGCCGTTAGTCTTCTTGGCAACAAGAGCACACTGTTGACTCATATCCAGCTTCTCGTCCACTGTGACCCCTAGGTCCTTTTCTGCAGAACTGCTACCTAGCCATTCGGTCCCTAGTTTGTAGCAGTGCATAGGATTCTTCCATCCTAAGTGCAGGACTCTGCGCTTGCCCTTGTTGAACCTCATCAGGTTTTTTTTTGGCCCAATCCTCTAATTTGTCTAGGTCCCTCTGTAGCCTATCCCTACCCTCCAGTGTATCTACCACGCCTCCCAGTTTAGTGTCATCTGCAAACTTGCTGAGTGTGCAGTCCACACCATCCTCCAAATCATTAATAAAGATATTAAACAAAACCAGCCACAGGACCAACCCTTGGGGCACTCCGCTTGAAGACCCAAAGCAGATTATCTAGCAAATACACAAAAAACAAAAAACACAGTCTATGCTTAATAAACTAAAGAGATGGGATATGAGTAGCAAATTCTCACTCTAATTGTTGATTTAGGCAGTTTGTAGAGATTCTTGAGGACAAACTGCACTTGCTTGCAGCTTAAAACTGCAGGTATTTCTTACACAGGCCAGAAATGTCCCTTGCCTGGGTCCAACACTTCTCCCCCAGTTCAGTCCTTGTTTCTCAGGTGTTTCCAAGCATCTCCTTTGGGCAGGGAGTCAGTGAAGAACGCATGTTAGTAGAATGCATCCACGGGGATAGGGAATATTGTCCTGTGGCCCAGGTACCCCTTGAAGTGCAAGGGCAGTTTACCTGGAAGCGGGTGGGGGTAATAGAGGGGTTGGCCTACCCCGTGGTCCTAGAGCTGGACTGGCGCCCTACCCAGAAGGGGAGAGAGACCACGGAGAAGGGACCGTCGAGGAAAGGGGGAAGAGAACCCTGGAAAGAGAACCCTGGAAAGAGAGGGCAAGACCCTGGTGGAGGTGGACCCGGGGTAAGGGGAGGCCCCACGACCCCCAGGGGGCCGACTCGGGGCAGAGGGCTCTGAACAGTCAACCCCACTAGAAAAGGAAGGGAGCCTCTGGGGCGGCCAGCCCAACCATGTGACTGGTGTGAGGACCTCTGGGTGACTGTAGACAGGTGGGGTGCCCCGCCTCCTACCCAATGCACCTTTTGTGGGTGGGGCATGCCAAAGGCCCATGGGGTGGTGCCTGGGGATCCTTCAGCTGGGCAGGAGGCCCAACCCCAGAGTAAAATCCCCGGACGAGGAAGGCAAGGCCAAGGAAGACCAGGCCTGGCAGCAGCTTAAGGGGGGAGGGGGGAAAAGCCGAGCAGCCTAAACAACCCTGTCTCTGATCCAGGCCCTCTGTCCCTTTGATGTTGGGCCTCCCCCTGTTGGGTTTCTTCCACCCTCCCCGGGAGTCCCACCTCCGGGCACTCTTGCCCGGAAAGCTCACTTTGCTCCTCAGTGACTCCTTCAGGCTCCCTACTTTGGCTGGATAAGGGAGCGAGTGGAGGCTGTATCCACCAGACCCCTCTGGGGCCTTTCCCAACCCGCACCGGGATAGTGGCCAATCCGCACCTCTTTTTCTGCCTCCCAGTCTTAATCCATCCACAAAATTCAGCTGCCCCACACTCCATCACTGGGCAATCCCAGCTTTTATGTCCCAGCTGTCCACACCACCAGCATACGAGCTGCCCCGGGCGGCTAGGGGTCCCCTTGGGCTCCTCCCGTCGCCTGTCTACCGGCTTCACCCCAGCATGCTCACAGGGTTTCCTGCCCCCCTCTGTGTCCCATGGGGCTCGATGCTCCCTTGGTGGGAAGTCAGCCTCTGCATACTCCTCCGTTCTTTGCACGGTGGCTTCTACAGTGGCCGGCTGATGTCGCCGCACCCAAACCCGCACGCTATCGGGAAGGCACTGGATAAACTGTTCAAGGATCACTTGATCCATTACCTGTCCCATGGTGTGGGCATCGGGTCTCAACCACTGTGTTGCCCAGTCTGTTAATTTTTGAGCAAAGGCCCGGGGTCGCACGCCCCCCGGGCTGCCCGAAACTTCTGCCGATATTTCTCAGCCAAAAGCCCGAGGCGGTCCAAAAGCGCTGCCTTCACAGCATCATAGTCCCTGGCTTGGGCATCCATCAGGGCCATATATGCAGCCTGTGCCTCCCCCCACAAAATAGGGGGCCAGCCACAGGGCCCAGAAGTCTAGTCCCATCCCACACCCAGGGCCACCCGCTCAAAGGGACCCAAAAAGGCATCAGGGTCATCTGCTGGGGCCATCTTACAGAGGCTGAGGCCCAGGTGCCATCTCCCCCAGCAGGACTCACCAGCTTTAGCAGGAGCTGCTGCTGCACTGTCAGCTGCTCCTTGATGAAGTCCTGTAGGGCCCTCTATTGCTCTGCCTGCCAAGCGAGTAGAGCTTGCTTCTCCACCTGGTGGGACTGCTGGTATGACTGTAGTGCTTTCTGCATCTCCGTCTGTTGCTCGGTGAGTCACTGCAGGGTGCTCTCCATTGCTGGGTCACCAAACTGTGTCTTTGGCACTAGATCCCGGACAAGCCCCCACTTGTAACAAGTCCTCTGCCCGGCCTTCTTCCTGGGGCCCACTGGCTGCCCCAATAAAGCACAGAGAGGCTTTTCCTTCTGCAGCACCCATGGCTTTATTTACAGACTTCTCCCACCACCAGTGACATACTATATACAGTTTGCAGGCCTTACAATCTCCACTTCCACCCAGAGCCTGCCCTCTGCCCTGAGACTGACCTTCCCTTGGCCATCCCCCCTTCCTGCTGGCTGCCAGCCAGCCTTTATAGCCCTCAGGCCCACAGGTGCAGCCAGTTCTAAAGGCCAGGCACCAGACTTCTCCCCAGCCCCAATCTATTTCCCCTGATTGGGGCTGGCTGAGTAGGGGCTAATTAGGTGCCTCTGCGCCAGCACCCTGCTACAGGCTGATTTAAAGGTAGGTTACATACCATAGTTAGTAGTTCTGGAATTTCATATTTGAGTTCCTTCAGCATTCTGGGACAGTTCCAGAGATCTGTCACCTAAAAAAATGGCTGAAGTGTTGGACTCTCCCTCAGATCCTCTGCAGTGAAGACCAATGCAAATAATAACAATAATAATAATTTAGCTTCACTACAACAGACTTTTTCTTCCTTGAATGCTCCTTTAGCATCTCAATAATCCAGTGGCCCCAATGATTGTTTGCTTGCTGCTTCTGATGTACTTAACAAAACAAATTGTTCTTAGTTTTTGTGTCTGGTTACCCTATACATTCTTTTTTGGACTGCCTATTTATACTTTTCCACTTGACTTGCCAGAGTTTATGCTCCTTTCTATTTTTCTCAGTAGGATTTGACTTCCAATTTTTAAAGGATGCCTTTTTGCCTCTATCCATTTCTTGTTAATTGTTGTACTCCTGGTGGCATTTTTTTTTGTCCTCTTATTATATTTTTTTATTTGTAGTATACACTTTGTTGAGCCTCTATTATGGCATTTTAGAATAGTCTACATGCAGTTTGCAAACATTTATCCCTTGTGATTGTTCCTTTTAATTTCCCTTTTTTGTGTAGTTCCCCTGTTTGAAGTTAAGTACTACTGGTATGGGATACTTTCATATCCCCCCAGCTGTGGTAAAGCAGGAAGCTTCCATAAATTATGCAAAATGTGGACAGGTAACCGCTTATGAAAACAACTGAAATATCGTGCTGCTGTATGTAGTGTATTAAAATGCTTTGCTTTTTCTCTTTCTATTTTTATGAATTCCTTCTTTTTTGACATTTCCTTAATGGGTATTTAC